ATGATTTTGAACCAGTATTTCTCGTTTTTTATAGACCAAGGTCAGTAATAATTGGAATTTTGTTCTCATAAACTCAAAAATAAATAAATAAATAAATCTGAGTTCATATATTGGTCCCAAGTGAGTTGGTTAAAAAAAAAATTTTTTTTTGAGTTTTTTTTTTTTCTTTTCCTAATTACTAAAAACTTATTTGATTGTCTCAATATTATAATTGTGATTGCTTTAAAATAAGCTTATTTGGCTTTGGCTATAAGCCTTGAAAAAGAAAATTAAAAGGTCAAGTTAGACTGGGAAAAAACTCAAACCAATTAGGGGATGAGGAATAGGGGATGGAGACTGAAAAAAAAATTACATTAAGGTAATGGGAATGGAAAATTAATATCTACACCGTTGTCCCTATTGCCATCTCTATGCATGGTTGGATCATTGAGTCAAATCGGTTTCAAATTTGATTTTTGACAATTAAGTTCCACTTCTCCTCTGTTTGTTTATACTTTTTTACTTGTTTTTTATAATCAATTTCTAACTTTGTCAATTGACATTTAAATTTTTGTTTGAGCTTTCAGTGTGTAGTTTTATTTTTTCCCAGAGAAATTCAAACCTATATGTTAGAAGGAAAAAAGAAAAAATAAATAAATAAATAAAAAGCTAGTAAAAACTTATCCAAACAAGATAGATTCAAGAATTTCAAGTACAACGCATATCTGTCCAACAAACTATGTACAAGGTGGGGACTTATCATACAATATGAGAGGCCACATAACAAGTAAACAATGTTGGTAAAATTTAACAATGGTATCAAGTTCGATTTTTATAGTCAAATCTTAGTTTAGGTGATAATTGATAACTCAATGCAATATTTAAAATTAGTAAAAGAGTAATTACATCAAATTTAGGCGTTGTTTGAGAAGGGTTAAAGTGACTAAATTAACACCAAAAGATAAAATAAACTGCTTTTGTCAATAAAACAAAAAATCACATCGAAATTATAATCATTTTATTTTTTTTCTCACAATTATCGCGTCCAAACAAGCAAAATAAAAAAAAAATCTCCTAAACGGAATTACTCAAACAAAGGCTGAACAACAAAAGTTGAAACAATAGGTAGAAAGTCAACAATCATCATACCTAACAACAATCACCTTTGGCCCAAACTAGGAAAAAAATAAAATGCATATAACCTCCATATTTAGGAGAAATAAGCACGAGGTATCAAAGCCCAACAATATGGAGAAATAAACACAAGAAGTATCAAAACCCAACAATCACCACTAGCTCAATCAAGCTCATTTGAAACTTTATATAAGTTTAAATGACTCTTGAATATAATAAGTTAAAAGTTCAGACAATTTTAAATAATAGAAAATTTATTTTATGTTAGTTAAATTTATAATTTGTTTACGCATAAAGCATCGACATTCATTATTATGACCACACTATCACTCTCATCGCTACCACCACTACTACCCCAACTACCATGGCCATCCTCATCACCACCACTGCCACCACATAATGACCATTTTAATTTCATTCCACCTTTATTTAGTTAATTAAATATTACCTAAAAGCGTTTATCTGTAATCTTTCACTTTACCAAAAATTCAGAACTTTCACTTTTATTTGCACTCTTATATAATCATAAGAATTTATAATAGAATTAGTATATTGACTCCAAACACCTTCACATTTTTAGTTAATCAAATGTAAGAATTAATATTTTGATAGAATAATTATTTAATAATTTTAAAACAGTATGTAACATTGTTAATTTGTTGTTTCTCATAAATACAATAACACATGTTTTGTATCTCATAATTTTTCAACAATAGATGCCGAATAAGCTTGGTATTAATTTTTAATATTAATTGATAAATTAAGGAACGAGCATGCAATAAATGCTTGGGCTATGGATAAGCAAAGAAAAATATTTAAGATTTACAATATATATATATATACATATAATTATATTTATAATGATGTAGTATTATATGTATCATTTGTTACACATCTAATGATATAAGGCCTAACTTCCTTACCATATCATTGTGGATAAATAACTTCTTATTACATCATTGTGGGTAGATTTATAGATCTAAAAATGTGAGTATCTAATAAGCTTATAAGCAAAACAAGTAATCAACAAAATGCATGTTTGGAGAGAGTATAAAATGTGATAATTTCTTTATTTATTCTAATTCAAGAAAATTACTTGTAAAAAAATTATAAAAAATTTTAGTTTATATATATATATATTTAAGTTCAATTATTTTTGTATTGAACTTCGTGTGGATTTACGAAATGGATACATTATATTGATATGGATACTTCGTTTGATTTACTATTTCTTTGGAGTACCTCAATTGAATAAGAAATAATTTCATATGAAAATTTATTCATATGATACATAATAATTTTGAATTTGACTAAAAAATAAAAGGAAATAAATTATTCATACGTATTCCCCTTTTAGGATAAATTACCAATAGGTCTTAATAGTTGGACTTAATTCCCTCAAGTCCTATTGAAAATAAGTCTTGGTAAAATTGTAACTAAAAATAATTTTTTTGTGACAACTTTTTTAAAAATGTCGCTAAAAATTGACAATTAGTGACTTTTTTTGTTATGATTTTTATAAATTGTCACTAAAACTTACAATTAGTGACGTTTTTTTGTAACAAATTTTTTCCATAGGACCTATTAAATAATAAGTCCACTTGTTAAGATCTACACGTAAGTACCCCTTCCTTTTACGATTAAAAAAAATCCTTGGGCTCAAAAAAGATCCTTTGGCTATTAACTACTGAAAATTTAATGCTTAAATATTTTAATCCCCTTTCTATGGGTGTAAAGATGGGTGTGTCCTTATCTTTATTCATATTAGATTGATTTGGACTTTCTCAATTCATGCTTTCTTTTACTTTTATTGCTATTGGTTGTGTGATCACTCGTGTACTATAAAATTTTTAAAAAATCATTTGTGCATTCATTCTAAATTATTCTTTTACCCCACTGTACTTTTATTTATGTTTTGAAGAAATGGGTGCAGCGTTAGTCAAATTCGTTGGCTTTGATTAAAGGATCCGACTTGGCCAAACATCTTTCCTTTGTTGGAGCAGAGGAAAAAAAACCCAACAAAAAAAAGTACATCAATTCTTAATAGTAATTATTTTGCACTAACTGATTGGAATTAAATGTATAAAATAGCATAAAAACTCCTTAAAAAGAAATTTTGTTGTTTATATATATACAGCAGTGCTGCATACCCCCAGTGGGGGTCGCACCCCCAGTGAGGTGTCGCACCCCCACTGGTTGAAACTTAAAAAAAAAAAAAAAAAAAAAAAAACAGTTTTTTTTTTAGCCAATAATGGAGTGCCACCTCACTGGGGTCGACCCCAGTGGGTGTATGAGGAGTCAAATTCGTTGGCTTTGATTGAAGGATCCGACTTGGCCAAACATCTTTCCTTTGTTGGAGCAGAGTAAAAAAAAACCAACAAAAAAAAGAAGTACATCAATTCTTAATAGGAATTATTTTGCACTAACTGATTGGAATTAAATGTATAAAATAGCATAAAAACTCCTTAAAAAGAAATTTTGTTGTTTATATATATATCTGGAAATGCCTTGCCAAGTAATACGAAGGATATGTTTTAAAATATCATCTCCCTTAACATTTCTAATCTCCTTATCTTAGGGGAGTAACAATCTCATAAACAATTTATCTTGTACAATATCTACAACCAAACATACACATAACCTATGCAACACTGATCAAAATATCAATATAATTCCAACCCCTACAACAGTCTCATGGGAAAGTGCCACTATATAGCATACTGCTAAAATTTGAGTCAGTCAATTTAGGTCATAAGGAAATGAAATTACTTTATAACAAAAACCACAACCGGTTCATGACCAAGACTACTACAATTCACAACAAAATACCACAACCTCATAACCAATGTCATTTCGACTCATAAACAAATACTACAAAGTCTCATAACTAAAACCAATTTAAGTCATAGCCAAGAACACTACAAAAGTCTCTTCTTGTATTCTTAGATCAATTATTTATCACCACCAGTAAAAGGATACAGGTCTAAAGATGCCAATACTAATTACTTAAAATGTCAATTATTATCCATAAAGAGATTTTTACTTCTATACTAATTTATAAGTTTAATTTTATTCACCACCAGTTAACAATACCCTCATTTTTAATTGGTTATGACAGTGGATCTACTGCTTTAAATGAGACTCAACCCACTATTTTAACCAATTAGAAAAGCAATTATTATTCTACTACCTGGCAGGTGGATAGAAAAAAAAAATTCCTTAAATTTTGGGCAAATTACATATATCCCTCGAGGTTTAGCAAAATTATAGATATCTCCCTGAGATTTGAGAAATTACAAATACCCCCTGAAGGTACTATTTGCATAACAAATTAGTGGACAAATTGTTATGAAAATATAAACCTCGGGGGATATTTATAATTTTCAAAATTTCAGGATATCTGTAATTTAGCTAAACTTCAAGGGAGGTATATGTAATTTGCCCCTATTCAATACCTTCGAAGAGAGAGAAGAAATAAAGAGTGGTAAAGCAAGGAAGAAATAGAAAAGGAAAATAAAAAATCTATGATCAGCTTTCCAATATTTTCTGCCCTACTTGTTTGGATTCTTTGGTACTACTTAAAGAGAATGGTGCTTAGCCTTTAGTGGTAGATTTCAATTCTATCTGCCAGGGAGGGCCAACCAAAAAACTAATAGTATTTCTATGCTTTGGAATTGCCCCCAACCCACTTAGATGCTTTCCAAACAGCATGATTTCAATCCAATTCACAGTATCATTTTTCATTGTTGAAGAAACTAAGTAAAACGCATTCTTCAATCACATAAGATAGAGAGACCTTGACCAGATTTAAGGTAAACACGGAAGGCATCTGGAAAAAAGAGGTAGACAGAGGTACAACAATTCCTGGGCAGGAATCACAATTCTAGTTAGTTACTGTATGTTCACAAGGAACAAAAAGTTCAAATTTTATTCCACAATTTATTTTAATATACCTGGGAATTTGGTACATAAACTCACTCTGTAGTATGCCCTGTTTCATATATGAATATGTACATGAACTAGAATCTCCGCACACAATTTACATGAAATCAAAATGCACCTGTCCGTACTTCAGCCAATAAAAGAAGAAATCAGTTGCTACTTCAGCCACTCTACAATCTCTCTCTTCCCCTTTGCTCTCCTCTGAGTTTGGTGAACCGATGTGGTCTGACAAAGAACAAAGTTGCAGTAGTTTGAATGGACTAACAGAACCCAACACTTCCGTTGCCACCACAATGCAAGTTAAGAAGTCTTCAAGCTACCCACTTATGAGCTTTCATGGAAGTCAAGCGACCTAGACAACGCTGCAGGATTGGCTTGTAATACTGGAGAGGTTTCAGAGACATGACTCTTGTCATCGCCTTTCGGTTGGAAGGGCTTAAACAGACCTCCCCCACTAACTGAATCGCCAGTCAAACCCTCTTCCTCTCTCTCTTTCGGCACCTCACAGAACCATACTCAGGCACACTGCCACAGCCCACACAGCATACACAGACACACGGCAGCAACCTATTCCTCATTGAGCACACAGACACTCATCACACGCCTGCACATGGCCGACACACACTCAAGAGACCCACTCTCTCTCTCTCTTTCTTTTTCTTTTTCATTCCTTTGCTGTTCCCACTCACGACCAAGCCAACCTCTAATAGTAAACAATTGAAAAAGGGTAAAATAGTCTTTTGTTCATTTATCCTATCCAGTCCGTCCAACCAAACGTTGGATTCACTGAAAATAGTCCTATCCAGACATCTAATCCCATGAAAAAACAAACACAGGATACATATCCAATCCGACCAAATAGTCCGGGGGATTCACAGTCCCAGGACTCAAGTCCGATGGATTCTAATCCCCCGTTTTCCAGTCCGTCCAATCAAACACACCCTAAGTAAAACGCATTCTTCAATCACATAAGATAGAGAGATCTTGACCAGATTTAAGGTAAACACGGAAGGCATCTGGAAAAAAGAGGTAGACAGAGGTACAACAATTCCTGGGCAGGAATCACAATTCTAGTTAGTTACTGTATGTTCACAAGGAACAAAAAGTTCAAATTTTATTCCACAATTTATTTAATATACCTGGGAATTTGGTACATAAACTCACTCTGTAGTATGCCCTGTTTCATATATGAATATGTACATGAACTAGAATCTCCGCACACAATTTACATGAAATCAAAATGCACCTGTCCGTACTTCAGCCAATAAAAGAAGAAATCAGTTGCTACTTCAGCTACTCTACAATCTCTCTCTTCCCCTTTGCTCTCCTCTGAGTTTGATGAACCGATGTGGTCTGACAAAGAACAAAGTTGCAGTAGTTTGAATGGACTAACAGAACCCAACACTTCCGTTGCCACCACAATGCAAGTTAAGAAGTCTTTAAGCTACCCACTTATGAGCTTTCATGGAAGTCAAGCGACCTAGACAACGCTGCAGGATTGGCTTGTAATACTGGAGAGGTTTCAGAGACATGACTCTTGCCATCGCCTTTCGGTTGGAAGGGCTTAAACAGACCTCCCCCACTAACTGAATCGACTTTATCATTTTTAATTCCCAATGTTGCCCATATAGAACTTTTTGCAGCTTCCCCTGGGTCATCAATTCTCAAAGTTTTTGGAATCCATAGGGACCTCTCAGGATTATTCTCTCTCTGTGGGTCCTCTTCCCCGGATTTGGTTTGCTTAAGCATGTTTTCATCCCTAGAATGCTTCCCCAAGGTTGGGGAATTAGGACCAGAACTAGGAGCTATGTGGTTTGGAGAAGAACTAGGCGGTGTCACCCAAGGGACATTCCAAGTTCCTGGTATGGTACAACCCCAATACGGTGGAGGATAGAATGGCATAGGAAAGCCTGGAGGGCAGAAAGCGGGTACAGGTACCGGACCACTCCATTGAGCTGAATTCCATGGGTATGGCCACGGAGTGCCAGGAAAGCATGGTACTTGAGGTGGGAAGCCATGACAATTCTGCATTACTGGATCTTGTAGCCCAGTTTTACTACCAACATCATCCTTTGAATTTGCAGCAGTGACTGAAGATCCACTTGAGTGATCATCCCCGTTCTCTCCACCTACGTAAGAAACTGGAATTATTAGTTTTTCTGGTTTACGAAACCCAGTTTGGGCACAGTTCCTCATCGTTTTCTCTGCAATGTTCAAAACTGAGGCCATTGACTCACAAAGGGGTGTGTCTGATGAGCCAAAAGTGAGGACAGTGCCGTTGGGCTTTAGAGTGGAATGGTGGATTCCATTTGGAAGATCTGCTCGGGCATTCTGAAGAGCTTCTGATACAGCTATGTGACGGTAGTGAGAAGCTGAGTTCTTGTTCTTCCGACGACCAGCACCAACAGGCACATTCCTCATGGTCCCACCAGCAGTCCAGTATCTCTGGCAATTCTTACAGAAGTGCCGGGGCTGGTTGACATTGTAGTTGTTGTAGTAACAAAACTTGGTGTCCATGCTATTGCAGCGAGGGCATGGAAGAATCTTGTCCGGTTTCTTCAGGGTCTTCTCCTGTGAGTTACTGGTCTCACTTTGTTCTTCTTCAGTCTTTGAAGCTTTTAATGTTGCAGCTTCATTGTCAACGGACGGTGTTTTTGGGTTCTCATTTACCACTGTAGTTGGATCTGCAATCTCCTCCGGAGGAAAAGGCCGGGCTCCATCCACCTGTTTAGTATCACTCAGGCTTCCACCAGATGGGGCCTGGATTGATCAAAAATTTCAATAAGGAAAACAAATCGAGTATCATAATTAAGCTTTCCTATTTTTAAACAGTAACCTTCTTCGTTACATGAGAACTAGATTAAACAGTTGCAAAACTGAATTAGTCATTGTTATGTTCTCTGTGACATGCATGTTAAGAATGAAACTCGACTCCTCTCAGTAATGCTTTATTCCAGGCTTACCGGCTCTTTTGGCAAGTGCTATATCTTTACAAGGACGAATATTACTAGCTCAAGCATTATCCGTCTGATTGGAAGGAGTGCTTTTGATAACAAATGAGAACATAAATATTATAGCAAGTTGGGATTAGAGGCTGCTACAGCATCCCGACTTTTCTTTTCCTTGTACGCAACTCCCCTAGAATCAAAGAGAGCTTAAAAGGGGTGGAGATGATGAAGAGGCAGAAAACTGGGCAAAGTGAGCAACAAAACCAGTTTGCAAAGAAGACCCCCTACTTTTTTTTTTCAACGGGGGGGTGTGAACTCCATGTCTTATTAAAATTCAAAAAGTCTACTTGATCAATTTCTCTATAAAAAAAAAAAAGTAGAATCATTCAGAAAGCAAAATTTTCCTCATAAAACTTGTCAATTTATACTCGAAACATCTGTCAATAGTACTCCACCAACAAATGAATATTACTGGCAGCAAGCTGAATATGCAAAATTTTCCCCATAAGACATTCAAATTAAGTCAAATGAAAGACAACTATTGTAGGTAAGATCTTCAAAGCACCAAATACGGGACAGCTACCAAAGAAAGAGGTTTAAAATTAGGGAAGTGAAAAATGAAATTGCCACCCAACTACAGTTATGGAATCAACAACAACCCATGTTAAGCAAATTCATAGATATGAAATGGGACTCTTTAAACCCATAGTGAAGATCTTAAGCATAAACTTATTGTCTAACAACACACTTACCTATGTGCGAAATCCACCAAAACAATAAATAATTAGAAAAATCAAACGTATTTGGAAATTTTGAGGTATTCACATAACGATCTACAAGATTTATTAGAATAGGAAACCTTAAAAACACAACCATAAAGTTGCACAAGCATGTCTGAACATCCTAGATTTGAATCCAGAACCAGAATTACAATATCCTACAACAAAGACCTCTAATTTCAAATTAAATAAACACAAACTACACCCAAAAACCCTAATTAGAAAATACTAAGAAAACCTTCAAATCACGTAAAATTAAGCTCGACCCATTTACTCCTCAAGTGTTTCAAATAATGGGTCGTCGTCAAAATATTCAATCCAGTCTATACCTTATTATCAGGGTAATGATCTTCTCCGACTCTGCTCGACTTGTCATCCTCCGGCGAAGAAGAACGATCAAGATTGAGACTTTCAGAATCAGACAGAAGAGGAGGAGGTCCGGCGGAGGGCGGAGGCGGAATATCCGGCAAGGGAATCGTCTTTCCGAAGAGCTTAATCGCTGGGTCTTTTGCTTCCGACATTTCTGGGTTGAAAAAGTTATAGACAGTGAAAAAGTACAAGGAGAGAGAGAGAGAGAGAGAGATTAATTCGGTGGTTTGGTTTGGTTTTGTTGGGATAGGGAAGAGTGAGAAGAGATCTGGATAGGGGTGTGGTGTGGATGTGAGAGTTGGGTGTCTTGGGCTTTGGTCGTCGACGTCGTAGAATCGAGTACGCTTTTGATCCGTTTAACCAGTTGGGTGCGCCACGTCAGCAGAGGGAAAAATGAATTCTCAGCCACAAGTTCTATGTGGCCTTGAGATCTTCCCTTTCACTTTTCCTTTTTTTCCCACTTTTTGATTCTCCACCTCCTCCACCAAAGTGGACGACTCTTCTTTTCTGACTCAGCATTTTCTTTTTTAATTTTTTTAATTAGTTCCTTAATTTTACCTCTAAAACAAATAAAATAAAATTTTTAAATAAATTACACTAGAGATCCTAAATGATCTATTAAATTTTTTACTAAATCTCTCACATAAGTATGGTATCTACAAATATATAAATTTGTGTAAGTCTCATACCCATATAAAAGTTTTAGTAAAAAATTTGATAAATTATTTAAAATTCATAATATTTTTTTTTAATATATACTGTATAATAATTGATTTTTCACCTACCTGCCACAAGATTTCATTTTAATTTTCAAACTTCTTAGTGCAAGTCAAGTTAGTGAATATAAAAATTAAAAAATATATATAATATTTTTTTAACTTGTATTATTTTTCTCTTTTTCAACAATGATGCCATCTATCACAAAAGAAATTTAAAAAAAAAAAAAAAAATATATAAATTGAGAATATAATGGAAAACCAAACATAATTTTTGGATAAATTGCACTTATATCCCTTGAAGTTTTAGGTTTAATCCATATAATCCCTGGCATTTGAAAAATTACACTAACCCCCCTATCATTCTAATTATTTAAAAGGAATGAAGGCATTGAACTCATACACTTTTTCTTATCTTGCTTACTTTACTTCCTCTATTCTTTTTTCTCCTTTGCTTTGCTTTACTTTTTTTTTTCAACGTAATTTTTTTTATTTTTCTATTAGGATATTGTTACCTTTTATATAAAAATGGGAGTTTATGAAATGAGACTATTAACCATAAGAGTGAGAATGTAATTTCTAAAACGTCAAGGAGTAGGATGTAATTGAACCAAATTTCAAGAGATGTCAGTGTAATTTACTCTTAATTTTTTTAATATTCTTTTAAGTATATAGCGTCTTTATTTATTTTATTAGTTTTATATATAATATGACTTAGATAGTAAATAAAATATAATTAAATAACAATAATAATATATTTTAAGTGAATTTCAATAATAAAAATAATAATTCTAGCACCACTTACAACAAATGACAAGTACACATACATCAACAGTCATATTCAAAAAATAATTATAATAAATCTTATGTTTTTCTAAGTATAGTAATTGTTATAATAAATCTTATGTTTTTCTAAGTATAGTAATTGTTCTATCCACACATATAACATGTTATATGAATCTACTTATAAAATAAAAAATAAATAATAATAAAATTCATTATAATAATATGTATAAGATAAGTTTATCACTTTTTAACAATGCATCTCCTTTTCTCGGCTACCCTATCCCATCCAAACCGCACTTTCAAAAAGTTGCCCAACTTTTCTTTTTCTATAACCTTTTTATTTTTTTTTTGTATTTTTTTTTTCTTTCTCCTGTATTATTTCTGTTTGTGGACAGAAATTTTAGTTGGCACAAGTACTTTAATTTTGAGTCTACCTTCCAAATACATTTAAATAATATTATAAGCATTAATTAGTGTATTAATTAATATACTAATTGATAATATGACATAATTTTTTTAAAAAATTGATATTTACAATTTGTATAATGAATGAGATCAATAATAATATTATTATTAAAATTAATATACTAATTAATATATTAATTAGTGTATATAATACCAACAAATACATCTACGTGTAGAGCTAGCTACCCATATCTGACTTCAATGAGAGCTGAAAACCGGACCCAATCTAAACGGTTGCGGATCCACTTTGACACCCAAATGAAATCTTGACAAATAAATAAGAATCATACTAAAAAATTGTATGTATCTAAAACTTGCGTCTAAAAAATTATTTTAAAAATGAGATGTAATGTTGATTTGATGTGAAAATGCGATTTTTTTTAATAATTTAATTTTTTTTAATATGTGACATTATTATTACTATAAGAAATTAAAATTTTAAAAACAAATTTAGAAACAAAATATTTTTGTAGCTAAAAGTGTTATTATTTTATTTTTGAATGACAAGATTGGACATTTAGTGATTAATTACTAGAGATCAAAAGTTTTGTCTCAAAAAATAAATTTCTTTGAGATCAGGTTATTTTATCCTAAAAGTACATTTATTAGCGATATTTTCAAAATTTTGTCCCTAATAGCTTCTCTTTTTTTTTTCACTTTTTTAGATGACTTATTAGCGACTATTCTTGCAACAGTTGAAATTAGTTCTTAAATAATTTTTGTAATAAAATTTATACTTTTAAAGACACAAAAAACAAAAAATACAAAAAAACAAAACAAAAACAAAAGCAACAACAGCAACAACAACGTAACCTTTAAAACTGTTGTATGTTGTGGTGATTCAATATTGATATGCTCAACAACAATTGTACAAATCGTTTTTATTTGCCTCATAGGCTGTATTCAATTTTTCAACGCTAACTTTTCTTATATTCTTTGTAATTATAAAGTCTCTTGCTATTTTTGTGTTCATAATGTTTGGTCAACATTTTCTACTTATGGTGCTGGTCATGTAATGTTGATTTGATGTGAAAATGCGATTTTTTTTAATACGTGACATTATTATTACTACAAGAAATTAAAATTTTAAAAACAAATTTAGAAACAAAATATTTTTGTAGCTAAAAGTGTTATTATTTTATTTTTAAACGACAAAATTGGACATTTAGTGATTAATTACTAACCTTTTGAGATCAAAAGTTCTGTCTCAAAAAATAATTTTTTTTTTGGATCAAGTTATTCTGTCCCTAATAGTATATATTTATTAGCGATATTTTTAAAATTTTGTTCCTAATAACCCTTTTTTTTAACTTTCTTAGACGATTTGTTAGTAACTATTCTCGCGACAGTTGAAATTAGTTCTTAAATATTTTTTACAACAAAATTTATATTTTTAAAGATAAATAAATAATTAAAAAATAAGAACGTAATCTTTACTATCATATGTTGGGGTGATTCAATAGTGATATGTTCAACAATAACTGTACAAATCACCTTTATTTGCCTCATATATTCAATTTTTCAAAGCTAACTTTTCTTTGGTTCTTTGTAATTATAAAGTCTCTTGCTATTTTTGTGTTCATAATGTTTGGTCAACATTTTCCACTTACGGCGTTGGTCACTGGTCCATACTCCATTATTTGTTTTGTATTACACTAAATCGAGCATCCACTTGGACATTCCCAAGTCAACAAAATTTACGTCTTTTCTTCTTACAGTTTATTTTGCATTAATAAAAATGCTAGAGACCCTAAAAATTTTATCAAAAATTTTATCAAATGTCTCACATGGGTGTGGGGCCCACATGAGACCCACATTGTGTGGGTCCCACACCCATGTGAGACATTTGGTAAAATTTTTAATAGAATATTTGGGGTCTCTAGCATTACTCTTGCATTAATTGTCTTGGAAAGAAATTAATTGTTTTAAATGCTATATGTATTAATTAGTGTATCAATTGATGATGTGATATAATTTAAAAAGAAATTAATATTTGTAATGTAATTATTAATGAGTGGTATCAATAATAATATTATAACTAGTATTAGTACACTAGTTAGTATACTAATTGCTGCATGTAACACTACCGTTAACCTTATAATCCATTTCCATAATATTTGACAAATGAATTTTATAGCGACACATTCAACATAACTGCGTAAGTGATATATAATCAAAAGAAAATATTATATCAATTAATAAACATGTATCATGTATATACAAAACAAAAATAACTTAGACCTTTAAAAAGAGAGCTCTAATGGAGTACTAATTTGTCTTCTTCCTCCTCCTCATATTTTATCTTTTACTTCACTTTTTTTTTTTTTTTTTTTTATAGGTGGACAGCTCATTAGAGCTGCATTGTAACCGCTCTAATTAGAGCTCTACAGCACTTCTGATATACAAAATTTTGGATTCTAAACAGAATCATTTTTGGTTATATAATAGGTGTCACATTAATGATTAAGAAAATTTTATAAGATTTTAAATTATTATAACATTACTCAAGAGTATAATTAAATTTAAGACCTATTTGAATGCTTCTTTTCTTTTTTAAGTTTACGTGATCTCTCCTCATATATATTTATCAAAATTAATTAAAATTATAAAAAATTTCCCTTTAAATTTTTGAAATGACATTGATCTCCCTTTTACCAAGCAACCTCCATTATCTCCAAATACTAATAACAATCCTTTTGTCCTATTTTTCACAAAATACACAGTATAATAAAAAGATTAAAAAAATTTAAAGACTATAATGCTGTCATAGTGACGATTAACATTGCTAGTAATGAAGTGATTGAGGAATCGTGAGCAGATGGGACAAACGTTACAATGGGAAGGATTAATGGGGTGAGAAGTTGGTGGTTCCAAAATAGTGTGATGAGCTACGGGTTGTGGTTCCAAGTGATAAGATGGGTTGCAGTTTGGAGGTGGTGGAGCTTCTAGATAATAGTTTCATTTTTTTTTTAAAAAAAAGTTTTAAAATATATATATATATATATATATATATGATGTATTATGATTTTAAGTGAAAATAATTTATGCATCACTTTAAACCCTTCGTTTGGCATATTAGATTTTTTTGATCATTTTAATCACAAAAAAATAAAATGGACTTTTTAATTCAATAAGACAAAGTATTGCATCCAAGCTATTTTCTTTCACAAAAGTCAAAAAAATTAAAAAAAAAACTATCACAAACGAGACTTTTTAGTCCCAAACTAAAAAAATTAAAAAACCAACTCACATCCCAAACGAACCCTTAATAACGTAGATTTTGGTCGCTAGGATGGATGCCTTTCATGAAGTTTAATATTTTTTCCATTTTAATATTGTTATTCTTACATTACAATATATAAGAATTTTAGAGATTAAATTTTTTGGTTCTTAAAAGTGAAAATCTTATTGCAAAAGACATTTATGAACTAATTTCTATTATAATGAGGATAGTCACTGGGATTGTTTGATGGGGCTTTTTTTAGCCAACTTATGGCTTCTGACTTTTAAAAAGTTATTTTGGACTGTTTGGTTAAACTTATTTCAAACAGCTTCTGATTCTAACAACTTATTTTAAGTCAAAAAAGTTGATTCTGAGAAGCTGCTAACCATTTACTTCTGATTATCAGCTTATGTTGTGAACATGTTAATTCACGGTTATACTCTTAAATTTTTTTATTTTTTATTTTTTTTTTTAAAGAGAAAAAGATCTAAATGGACTATAGAACATTATTATTATTTTTTATAAGAAATGTAGACAAATAGTGAATAATAAAAAATAAAAGTTAATTGAGAAAGCTACTTCACAGCTTATTTAACAAACACTACTCAGCAACTTAAATCTATAATCCAACAGTTACACCAAACAGATTAATAGTTCTGATTAAAATCATAATCTATAATCTATTAAGCTATAATCTATAGGCCTTGGTATGGCTTATTTTTAGGTTATTTCAGTTTTTAGCTTAATTTAAGCTATTTTGATGTGTTTGATTCAGCTTAATAATACAGCTTATAGTTTTTTGTAAATCAAAAATCAACTTATTCTTTAAATGGGGGATGAGAAACTTAATTTATAAATCAAAAATCAGCTTATATTCACAGTTATAAACTATAAGCTGTTAAGTTATAAGTTATAATCACTTTCCCACAGCTCTACCAAACGGAGCCATAATCTGTTTTAACATCTACACCAAACAGGACTACTAAATGGTCATCTTGAAATGTTAAAAACAAGACTTTTAGTCACAAATTTTTGAAAATGTCACTAATAAATACACTTTTAGGTATAAAATAATTTGATTTCAAAAATATTTTTTTTTAAGATAAAAAATTTGGTTTCAAAAATGTAATAATTCACCACTAATGTCTAATTTTCGTTACTAAAAATATAATGACGACACTTTTAGTAACAAAAATATTTGATCTTTAAAAAATAATTTTATCCCTAAATTTTGATTTCTAAAACTTTAATTTTTTTTTTTAGTATTATCCTTTGAGGGGAAAAAAGGAAAAAATAAGAGAAACGGGTTGTAGTTCATAGGATACATTACATGGTGCGCTCTTAATAGTAGAAGAATATATATCACTTTAGGATGATCTAAACAAATATATTTTTTATTTTTTTAAAAAAATATATATAAAAAAAATAAAGAGATAATGTAATGAAAAAAAATGAATTATTTTATAATAGCTAAACTTAGCCTAAATTTGGATGGCTTTCATCAAGTTTAATCTTTCTTCTATCTAATATTATCATCCTTATCTGAATAAAATAAAAAATAAAAGAAAGTTTACTTTATAAGACACGTGTACTCAATATAGTAGAAAGTACACACAGATCACCTTTTCTCTTTCTTTATAAAGTTGATCCATGTACTATTGCTATCTGGTTTAAGATCCATGGGCGTAAGTTGTAATTTATTTTTAAATTTTTTATAAAAAAATAAAAAATAATATGATAAAAATAAGTCAATAAATTAATAAGGCCTCGTTTGGCATGCGAGTATTTTAGCTAAAAAAATAAACTAATAAGCAGCTTATTTGACTAGTTAATTTCTAAATGTATTAAAGCCTCGTTTGGCATGCGAGTATTTTAGCTAAAAAATTTTAAAAATATTAAAAAAATTATAACCTATACAAAAAAATAAAAAATTTTATTTTGTTTACTTTTTTGCAAATCTTTTCGTAAAAAATTAAAAAATTATTTCGAACATACTAATTTTTTTTATCTCATACTTTAATTAAAAAGTTAAAAAATTACTAAAAAAATCCGTTTAGAAAAGACAACTAAGTAGTATATGAGGATCCACCATCTCAACAAAATCTATTGGGCTATTTAATACAAGGCCCAAAACAATTGAAGCCCAAGCGTTGCAGGCTTAAGTTCTCTTCTTTCTTATTTCAATTCAGGTCAAGTCTGACTAATCTTCTTTCCAACCCGTCTCCTTTACAAGTGAAAATAAATATGTCGACGACCTCATTTGGAAAAAAAAAAGACATTTAAATTCTTCTTGTTTTTGTTTTTGTTTTCTGGCATTTCAAAAATATTTTGTCAAAAAAATTCTTTTTTTTTAAGTGCTTCTATTCTAAAAGATCCTAAATATTTTTGAAATTATGATCAAAATTTTAAAAAAACACCAAAGATGAAAAATCTGATTTTTATTGAAAGATTGTCTTTAAAAAAAATTAAAAACTTGTTTTATTATTTTTTCAAATTTAACTATATATTCTTTTTTTTAGGGTCTTTTAACCTAGAAAGTTAAAAAGACTTACACAAATTTGCAAAATGGTGAAGGCAAAAAAAAAAGAGCAATGCTACGTCGCTCGAAAACAGGCCCCCCGAATCCCCCTAAAGGCAAAAACGACATCGTTTTTGCCTTTTTTTTTTTTTATTTTTTTGGTTGAATCAGAAACGAAGAAGAAAATGGAAGAAGAAGAGGAGGAGGGAGGAGGAGGGACTGGAGGGGGTCCAACAAATGGGGCCGAGGCAGAGGCAGCAGAGGCAGGGGCTGCGAGGGGCGGGGCTGCGACAGCGGACCTGCGGAGACGACGGCGGAGGCGAGGCTGTGACGATCTGGCGGAGGCGACAGCGAAGGCTACGACGATCAGGCAGAGGGCTGCGACGGCTGAGACCTGCCTCCTCTTCCCCTCTCTTCTCTTTTCCCTCTCTTTCTCTCCTCTGTGATTTCGGGGGATTCGGGGGAAAAAAATTAGGGAGACAAATCATTTTTCAAAAAAAAAAAGAGACTTAAAAGTCTTGCTATAGAAAGTGAGCTTAATTAAGAAAATGAAAATGAAAATGAGTATTTTTGTCATTTTGCCTCTCCTAAGGGAAGTGTGAGAGTCTAAAAATAAAACATAAATGTCATTATTTTAAAATTTTATTAAAATGTTATTTCACTACACTTCTTTATAAAAATATACTCCAAAATTATTGTCTTTAGTGTGGAATATTACACATGACAAGATTGACAATGCAAATTATAAATAAAATTTGGAGTGTAAAAATTTTAAAATAAAATAAAAAGTCCCAAAAATTATTAAATAGGCCAGAATAGGCCCAAGCCCTTTTGTAGGCCCATTGGAATCCATGTCCTACAAAAATCATTAACGAATCATTCAACTAGTTTACGAAGTCAAGTCCACACTACAGTACATGTACACATTCAAACTTGAGCCCACAAAACTCAACTCCACCGCAATTCACTACAAGAAAATTTATTTTACTTGGCGTGTATGGTCCTCTCTAATCTAACCATTGCGATGAAACAACTTCATAGATTGCGATAAAGCTGAATATATATATTGTGTAATGAATGACTCAAAATGACTCTCCTTTCAAACCTCTGAAGCCGGCCAGCAACAACAAGAAGACGAACAAAAACACCTCTCTATCTCTCAGTCCTCTCTGCTCCTCTGTTTCAATCCAATCTTCGATTCAATACCCCCATATTTGACTTTTTCAGGGGTAAATCAGGGAACATCTATCGTCCACCGACCAAAATTCTATCCTTTTTTCCGATTCTTTGAAGGGGGGTCGATCTGATTTTGAGTTCAATTGCGTTTGTTTGATCTATAATTTGGTGGGTTGTTGTGAAAGATCGGTTTTGATTTCTGGGTTCTATCCAAATGGTCTGTTTCCATAGCTCTGTTCCGGTTGATCAACAGATGGGTATGGCTAAATCTGTGAATTCAACCGACCCTTGTTCGAAATTGAGGAATAAGAAGATACCCAATTCGCCGAATCAATCGAGTATCCCAGCTTGCCAACAATCTCGATCGGCTGCGATCGATGTGTTGATCTTGATCGCAGTGATTGGTGCTTTGGGGTTTCTAATATTCCCCTCTATAAAGCTTTTAATATTTAATAGTGTTGAAATTGTTGAAACAATGGTTTATGTGGTGAGAGAGGAGGTTTCAGAGGATCCAATTATTTATGGGTGTTTAGGACTCAGCATTTTATGTGCAGTGATGGCTGTTTTGGCAATTGCAGTGTGCATGAGTAGGAAATGTGGTAAGCCCAATTGTCGTGGGCTACGTAAGGCGGCAGAATTCGATATCCAGCTTGAGACAGAGGAGTGTGTGAAGAATTCGACTAGTATGTCAAAAGATGGAGTAAAGAAAGGCTTATTTGAATTGCCACGCGATCACCATCGAGAATTGGAAGCTGAGCTTAAGAAGATGGCACCCCCTAATGGAAGAGCTGTTCTCGTGTTTCGATCAAGGTGTGGTTGCTCTGTCGGAAAAATGGAAGTTCCGGGACCAAAGAAGACTCGAAAGGTTAAGAAATAGTGTCCATCTTCTTGTTACTTTTCATATGAAGCATATTCGAATCAGGACTAGATATAATGCACAGAGAGGAATGCCTTTTCGGATCAATCTTCTTTGAACTATATATTATTGTCTTTAAATAAGCTCATGGGAATAAATTGTAAGGATTATTAATATATATGTTGGCTGCTAGAAATATAAGAATCATTCCTTTCACAAACAATAGTTTTTCATCATTTTCCTTCTTTCAATTGCATTTTTTAAATTATTCATCTTATATCCATTGTTCATGCTTTGCTAATTTTCAAGATTTTAAAATTCTCTTCTGGGTTATCAGTTACTAAGATGTTTAGTTTTCTTGTTTTATTCTTTTTATTTTTTGTTGGGCTTGTAATACACATTCAAAGTTTTATTCTTTATGTTTTTGTTGGGTTGTGATGCACATTCAATCTAGAATTAGGAAATTTACCCATAATTACTGAACTCTACTTGGTTGATGCGAAGTGAATCAATGAAGCCCTACTTCTTTCTTTATGTTTTTGTTGGTTGGTGATGCACAAACAAACTAGAATTAGGAGATTTACCCATAATTACTGAAGTGAAGATTGAGAACCAAGAAAGCAGAGGAGAAGTGAAGATTGAGAACTAAGAACTGCCTAAGAGTGAACATTTTCGTTATTTAGGGTCGATTATCACAACAGCGGGAGAGATTAATGCAAATGTGGCCCATAGGATTAAGGCGGGATGGTGTAAGTGGAGAAGTGCGTCTGGGGTATTGTGCGATAAACGAATACCCACTAAACTAAAAGGTAAGTTTTATAGAACGGCTATTAGACCAGCTATGTTGTATGGGACGGAGTGTTGGGCAACTAAAAAACAACATATAGATAAGATGAGTGTGGCTGAGATGAGGATGCTAAGATGGATGTGTGGTAAGACTAGACAGGACAGGATTAGGAATGAGTGTATTCGGGAATGGGTAGGAGTAGCACCGATAGAAGATAAGTTGAGAGATAATCGTTTGAGATGGTTTGGTCATATTCAACGGAGACCAACAGAGGCAGTAGTGAAGAGATGCGATGCTGTAACGGTAGATGGAAGTGTTAGGGGACGGAGTAGGCCTAGATTAACGTTGACTAGCGTTATAAATAGAGATATGAATCTACTTAATTTGACTAATGAAATGGCTTTTGATAGGGCCGCGTGGAGAAGAATAATTCATGTAGTCGACCCCATTTGATGAGACTTAAGGCTTCGTTTGGTTTGGTTTGGTTTGGTACTGAACCTTACTTGGGTGATGCAAAGTTTTAATTAGGCGATTTACCCATAATTACTGAACTTTCCTTGGTTGATGCAAAGTGAATCCATGAAGCCCTACTGATGCCAATTATTTCATATTTCTCTTTATTGGATTATTCGAATTATTTATCCAAAGATGTAACTTTTGAGATGATATTTCTACATGATGGTGCGTATAAATAGAGTGCTACACTTGGTCATACCACCGGTATTATGAGGGTGTATTATTCCAAGGATGGTTTAACAAACGTAAATTCACTACAAGAAAAGTGAGTATATGAGACGGAACTATTTGCGACGGCACACTTATCGTTTCAAAAAGTCACTTTTTGCGACGGCAGAAAATACCGTCTCAAAAAAGCAGAGTATTTGCGACGGCACCATTTGCCGTCTCAAAAAAGCAGAGCATTTGCGATGGCACAATTTGTCGTCTCAAAAAATGAGAGTATTAAAAAAGTGACTTTCGTGTTTTTTTTTTTGTTTTTAGTGAATATTTTTAAAATTTTAAATATTTTTTTTAGATGCACCTTACTTGGATGTATCTAAAAAATAAAAAAATTATAAAAAAATATTTTTAAAAATTAATAAATACATAAAAATACAAAAAAAAATGTATTGAATTATTGTATTTTTGGTATTTAGTGAATTTTTAAAAGATTTTTTTTACAATTTTTAAATTTTTTAGGTGTATTTATGTTAGATGTGTCTAAAAATTAAAAAAAAAATACTTAAAATATTAAAAAAATTCAGTAAAAACAATATAACACGGAAAACAAGAAAGTATAATTTTCTTAAAAAAGTTTTTGGAAAACTCTAACCTAGCATAGTGATTGTGGTTTTGAGATAGCTTCATGTATATACAGTCACAAAATGGTTTGAATAAATTCAACGGTATTTTTCTGTCACAAAAAAAATAAAAAAAAACAATGTCGTCTTACTCTTTTGATATAACATTTCTCTTTTCATTCATTTTTTAATCTTCCTGTCTCTCTGTCTCTATCTCTCTCGCTTCTCTTTATCTCTTTCACTCATCACTCTTCTTTCTCTGTCTGTTTCTCTCTCTCTCTCATTTTCTCTTTGTGTCTCTCGTCTATCTCTCTTCTCTCTATCTCTCTCATCTGTTTTTTCTCTTTGTCTCTCTCACTCATCTCTCTTCTCTCTATCTCTCTTATTTCTTTTCTCTCTCTCTTTCTCTCTCTCTCTTATCTTTCTATCTCTCTCGCCAATTTCTCTTCTCTCTCTGTCTCTCTTTTTCTGTGTCTCTCTCTCGCTCATCTCTTTTTGCTCTATTTTCTCTCTCTTTTTGTCTATCTCTCGCTCATATCTTGTTTCTCTCTCTTTTTCTATCTCTTTCTCTATATCTCTCTCTTTCTTTCTCTCTCTATCTTTTTTTCTGTCTATCTCTCTCTCACTCATCACTTTCCTCTCTCTCTCTGTGTCTACTTGTCTATTTGTCTATTTCTCCCTCACTACGTTCGCCTTGCTCACTCTCTTACTCCCATCGTCTTTATTTATCAAGCTCCTTCTCGATTTATCGATCCACTATAAGAAAATACACTTTTAGCAACCACTTTGTATCTCTCTCTATCTCTATCTCTATCTCTCTTCTTTATTTGTCTCTCACAAAATTAAAATATTTTTAAAATATTTAAATATTTAAAAAATTGATTTGAATTAAATTTTGAAAAGAGTTTTGAATTATGTGTTTGGTTATGAGTTTCGAAAAGTAATGATTATATTTTGAATTGAGTTTTGAAAATGGATGTAGAATTATGATTTGAAAGCTCAAAACAAATACCATACTTAAATCAATGGGTGAAACTATGACCACTACCATTACCACTCTCTCTGTCTCTTTTTTTTTCTATGTCTCTCTCGTTAATCTCTTTTCACTTTCTTTCTCTCTCTTTTTGTTTATCTCTTGCTAATCTCTTGTTTCTCTCTTTTTCTGTCTATCTCTTTCTCTCTCCGTCTCTCTCTCTCACTCATCACTCTTCTCTCTCTCTGCCTGTCTGTTTGTCTGTCTGTTTGTCTCTCTCTCATTCCCCCACTGTGTTCGCCTTGCTCACTCTCTCCCTCATCTCTTCTTTATTTATTGAGCTCCCTTTCAATTTATCGATCCACTACAAGAAAATGCACTTTTAGCGACCACTTTGTCTCTTTCTCGCTCATCACTCTGTCTCTTTCTCTGTCTCTCTATCTCTTTTCTCTATTCGTCTCTCACCAATCTCTCTCTCTCTCACCACCCATATTCTCTACTACATTTACCACTACTGCAAATGCCATTCAACTACCATCACTCTTCTCTTTCTTTCTTTCACTCATCACTCTTATTTTTCTATCTGTTTGTCTATCTGTCTGTCTGTTTGTCTGTCTGTCTATTTGTCTGTCTGTCTGTATGTCTTTTGTTCATCTTTCTTCTCTCTATCTCTCTCATTTGTCTTCTCTCTTTGTCTCTCTCGCTCATCTCTCTTCTCTCTATCTCTCTCATCTCTTTTCTCTCTCTCTCTGTCTTTCTCGCTAATCTCTCTTCTCTCTATCTCTCTATTTTTCTATTCTCTCTCTCGTTTATATTTTTTCACTCTCTTTCTCTCTCTTTTTGTATCGCTCATCTCTTGTTTCTCTCTCTATCTCTTTCTCTCTTTGTCTGTTTGTCTCTCTCTCTCTGTCTCTCTCTCTCACTCATCACTCTTAATAGAAAATATTTTTTATTAAAATATTATCCTTACTTCTACCAAATAAAAAATAATAATAATAATTTTTTATTCATTAAAATAAAAATGAAACAAATAAATTTTCAACCTTAATAACGAAAAGAAAATGAAAATTATTATTTATTTATTTTTATTATTTAAATATTCATTTATGATGAAAATTAAATTTTTTATTTTTTTTTCTCAATCCCGCCCGCTCGGTTCCCCCCATTTTTTCCATTCTCGCGCCCCCCAAAATCCCCAATCTCTTAGAACTAAAATCCCTAATTTCTACCAAATATCTCTCTCTCTCTCGCGACTGTGAGCATGGGCGACGACGGCGTCGAGCCACGGGCACCAGTGAATGAAGGAAGCCAGACATCGACGACTATTGTCGGAGTCCTTCGCTTCTCTATCGATAGCCATTACCAGCAAACGAAGTTCTCTGGTTCTATGTTTCTCTGGTTCTTTGTTTCTCTTTTTCTCTGGTTCTATGTTTCTCTTCGAATCTCATCAAAGCTATGTATTGTATTGCTGGTTTGAACAATAGGCTTGAATCTCATCGGGGGTTTAGCTAAAGACACTACATTAGGTCAGCTCATTCTTCTTTCAATTGCTTCTGCAAAAATATCTAGATTGTTTTGTTTAATGGCAAATTCTTCAATTTACATTATGATATGCTTGTTTGATGTTTGTTTTGTGTGATTGGGGGTGGTGTGTGAGTGCAGATCAGTTCACGAAGTACTTTGGGAAGTACGGGGAGATTACAGATTCGGTTATAATGAAAGATCGGCACACTGGTCGACCCAGGGGTTTTGGGTTTATCACCTATGCTAATCTTTCTGTTGTTGACACTGTTATTGCTGAAACCCATGTCATCAATGACAAACAGGTGCTTTTCCTCACTTGGGTTATTTACTTTGGAAGAAAAATCTTTGTGCATTTTGTGTTTCTGGGTTTTGCTGTTTTTCCTGATAGGAAAAACTGTGGCGAAGAGAGAAGAAAAATAGAAAATTTGATGCTTTTCCTTAACTTTACATCTTGTTTAGGGCCTTTGAACTTGAAACTTGAAGTAATAAACATTCCGTGCCAAAGTAAACAGAAGCTTACTCTCTTAAATTTCTATTTAATTTTTGTTCTCCATAAGACTTCCTCTATGTACCCACCCAAATAAATGTGTTTGTTTCAAGATTGGCTTGGAAATTTATCTCCCTCTGGTGTTGGTTTGGAAAATATATACGAAATAGTTAGATTAGTGTCAGGTAATTTTGTTTTAATATCCCAAGATCCTAAGCAATGAAAAGTAACCCCTTTTACATTTTTTTTTGGGTTTATATTGTATAAGGCTGCTCATGAAAAATAATAAATAAATAAAGTTTACTAGCAAATGCATTATTAACCGATAACTATGTTTAAAATTCTCTGTGAACAATGTGATTTCCTTTATCACGGGCCAATGGACAGGGTTAGGTTAGTTTGGAAGCAGGTTGAACTGTTGTTTTGCCATTGAGGACATAGCTGTGCTGCAATGTGAAGTACTGTTTTTTGACTGATGCTTGACTTATGATGAATTGTATCCAGGATGCCTCTATAATTTTTGTCAATAAAATTTGTTATTATTGTGGAGATTTGGATTGTTGAGTTGCTGGAGAGAATCTCTCCACTTTTCTGAAAGTGCATAGAACTTTGACCAAGATAATATCTTCTGTCAGAAGGTTTAGGCATTGCAACTTACACGGTCAAATTTCTAAGCAGGTTGAGATCAAAAGAACAATTCCGAAAGGTTCTGCTGAATCTAAGGATTTTAAAACAAAGAAGATTTTTGTTGGTGGGATACCTACCTCTGTCACTGAAGGTGTGGTATTTACTTTCTTTTTTGCCCCCAGATCACGGTCTGGGATTGCACATTTTAATTTGCATGTTCTTCTGCTATTGTTGTTATCCTGGTTAAACTGGTTCCCCATTCTTCTCAGATGAGTTCAAGAATTTCTTCTCAAAGTATGGAAAGGTAGTGGAACACGAGATCATAAGAGACTGTGTCACTAAACGCTCTCGGGGCTTTGGATTTGTTGTATTTGACAACGAACAAGTTGTTGATACTATTCTGGCCAATGGAAATATGATTGATATGGAAGGCTCACAGGTGAGTTCAGTCCAATGGGTCATTACCATATCAAATGTACAAGGACATAGCTTTTATGTGTTCAAACCAGCAATACAATATTACTTTTTACTCTTAAGGGTCTTGTATTTGTAGCTTTTCATCGAATAAAAGATAATATTGTCATTGCCTAAAGGCAGGATTGCATTTTTTTTTTTCGTAGATGAGGCAGCAGAAACGGGCTGCTCTTTTGAAAGAAAAAAGGGCCTCTAGTGGATTGACAAGCCCTCCCCGTGTCATTGTGAGTATCCTGTATATGATATTTTTTAAAATGTTTGTATTGTTTGGACTCAGATGAAATATTCAATTAATTTTGGTCAATAGTGTGACAGTTTTTCAACACCACGTCAACTAAACTATCGATTAATTAAATAAATAGGCTTGAATCTCATCTTATTGGACTAAGGATGCATACCATGAGCCCGTCTAGGCTTGAATCTCATCTTAATTAAATAAATAGGCTTGAATCTCATCTTATAAAGTGATATTGTTATCTTTTTATGCAGAAATGAATATTTCAGAAATGAATATTTTAGTAATGATGAGATTCTATGTAATTCCTACTATCCAAACATAACTTTAATTTGCATACATACTAATGAGAGGCTAATCACCCTATTCCATGAACATGTATGATCTCCCTATTGATGGACCCTCTACATGTGAGTTCCTACAAAATAAATTTGTGTATTCTATAATCCAAGACAGGTAGGAACCCTTTAAGTCCAACCCTTCCCACTCCGATCAGACATGAAAAAATTCCCCAGGTATATTACAATAAGAGTTTATTACACTATTTTGGACTACATTGAATTCCATTATTATTGTTATTATTATTATTGTTATTATTTTTTGTGAGCAGGGAAAGCTTTGGTTTCTCCAATTGAGAGATATGCAGTTATTCCTGATGACAACGCAAGTGTTCTTTCCACAGTCTTCATTGTCTTCATTACTGGTGTTTAAATAGTTGGCTTCTCCAAAAGATTATAATTTGCAACTGTTATCTATTTATTTGTAGGTCAAAAGGATAAATTTTACCGAGGGGAAGATCTGATTCTAGAAGTAAGGAATTTGCAGCTTGATTTTTGAAATAGGCCCAAAATTGAAATCTTGCTGGAAATTTTTTATTTTTTTATTTTTTGTAAGAGCATTTAAATATCCAATGTGCTTATTGGTGAATTTTAGATTTTATTTTATTTTATTATTTTTTTTTAGGATTGGGGTGAATTTTATAATTTAAATATGCTTTTATGAACATGTACAGTTTAATTGTTCTTTGTAAAATATTGAATTTGATGATTTTATCAATTTTTATTTTTATTTTTATTTTCAGTTATGATGTTCTTGTGAATGGAATGTAAATAATCAGCTCAAAGCATATTTTAGAGAGTGAGAGACGGCACCACCGTCGGAAAAAATAGAAAATTTTAATATTTTTATTAATTTTGTTACAGGTTTTACTTTTTGCGACGACATTACACTGTCGCAAAAAATAGAAATTTTATTATTTAAAATAGAAATTTTATTATTTTTTGCGACGGCATTACACTGTTGCAAAAAATAAAAAATTTCATATTTTTTATACTTTTTGCGACGGCACCACACCGTCGCAAAAAATAGTGTTTTTGTCAAAAAAAAAAAGACTATTAGTGACGGTATTTTTTGCCGTCTCAAATAATATTTTTAGCGACGGTAAAATAGGGCCGTCGTAAAAAAGTCAAGAAATTTCAAACGTTATTAGCGACTGCAGGATGCCGTCGCATAAAGGTAAAAATGCCGTCGCAAAACATTAGCGACGGCACTTGTCGTCGCAAAAACTCTTTTGCAACCCCTTCATTTGCGACCCCCTCTTTACTGTCGCAAAAAGTCTTTTTGCCGTCACAAAAAGTATTAGCGACGGCAGTAGGAGTATTAGCAACGGTATTTTACCGTCGCAAAAAGTCAATTTTTTTGTAGTGATTATACTATTAGTTCTTGAACATATTTTTTAACTTCTGCACATATTCTTTACTGGCATTATCAGTGATCCTTAAGAGGCTAACGCTTTTAGAGACGCAACGTAATTTTTTTTTTGTCCGTGAGGCCCTTTAACTCCACAAAGTTGAAGCCAACCTAATTTCTCTTTGACCATCGAGATCGAGTATTATTGTTTTGGTTACGCAAAATATAAATAATTTATTGTTATATCACCTTTTTATTTTTATATACATCTTTTAATAATAATTAAATAAAAATAAGTCAACTAAAATAACTGGTCTTGTCAAATACTGACCTAAAACGACCGGTCTTGTTAAATACTAGCCCAATGCTATGTTGTGCATTGTACCATTTTGTGATTGTCGTAGATCAAACAGATTGATCTATCGAGACGCTACCATTAAGGTGTCAATAAAAATCTACATTATCATCAATTCCAAATTATTCTAAATCATCACACCTAGAATGATGTGAAGTCTCTTACGCTGTGTTTGATTGGGAGATTTGAAGAAAAAAAATTAGAAAGAGAAAAGAAAAAAGTAGGTGATATGTAAATGAAAATATATCTACATTTCACCTAGATTTATACAAATTTTCTTTTTCTCTTTCTAAATAAAAAAATAAGTAAAATATAAATAAAATATATCTACATTTAACTTAGCTTCACATTCTTTTTTCTCTTTCCTTTTTCAACTCTCTTTCCAAATCCCTCAACTAAATACAGCGTTAATTGGAAAGAATTTTTTTAACTTGACTTTTTAACCTTTTGACTAATTTAATCTGACCAAATTAGTTCAATTTGAGAAAAAAAATTTAACTTTTTTTATTTTTTACAAAAAAAATAAAATAATTATAATTTAAATATAATATTTTAACTTATTTTATCTTTTTATATTTTTTTAATCCCACCTCACTTCATACTCTCAATTGTAAAATCTTGAACTTGTTTGGCAAAAGTTAAAATAACTAATTTTAGGTTAAATTTTACAAAAAGATAAAATAGGTTAAAATAATCAATAAGACAAAACATCACATCAAATTCATAATCATTTTATTTTTTCTCTCACAAACATTACATTCAATTACAAAAAAATACAATCATTTTTTCAAATATAAAAATTTTAACCTACTAAAATAGCCAAATTTCTCAACATCGCCATGGTTACAATTGGTCACTACTTTTTTTTTTTGGGTCTCGTCAAGCGAGAAGTACGAATATGAGGACACATGTAAGCTACCTATTTGGTCATGTAAATGGCATAACAATGACGGCATAAGTTCAATATCTATATTTAACTATGCTGCAGACCCAGTGAGGTGGCGAGTCTCTATTGGCTTGAACTTAAAAAAATAAAAAAATAAATAAAATAATTTTTTTTTGTCTAATCACGATACGCCACCTCATTGGGGGTTGACCCCAGTAGAGGTCCGAAGCATTTTTCTATGTATATTTTTGGTTTTGGTGGCTTCTAGACCATTACGAGGGGTTTTGATATAGATTATAGGGATGATTATAATTTATTTTAATTTATAAATTTATATTAGATTATTTTGTATAATTTTCTAAATAGAAATAGTTTAAATAAATTGAGAAAAGTTAAGGACATTTTTTATAGAGTCCCGGTTATTAATTTATAATATAAAGAATATTTAATATTTTAATAATGATTAATGATTGAGGCCTCAAATTTTTTGCCTCAAATTTGGCTCGAATTTTCTTCTTTTTTTTTTTTTTTGATGCTTTGCTTTTTATTAATATTATTTTTTTTATTTATTTTTTTCTGCAATGTATTAGCCCAAAATAATAATAAAAATTATGCATTCGAGGCAATTTCAAGCCTCATTTTCGAGGCCTCAATCACAACTGTTTAATAATATCTAAGTCTCTCAAATTAATTTAGAGAAAATTTGACTTCACAGATAAAATCACACTAGAGAAATTCTCTAGACTTTCACTTCAACCTAAAAAAATTCTCTAAAATTAGATAAATTCACTGAAACGCAGAGAAAATATCCTTTCAATCCAAAGAAATTCGCTAAAACCAGATCCACATATATATATGTCTAACTAGTTTCGGCTCAGATCACAAAACCCCTATCTTCTTCCCCAAATCTAACAACCCATGCTTTTATCTCTCTCTCCTTCTCTCACATACACACACGCATAGAAAATCAAATAGGACCAGAGCTCGAACTCACCCATCAATGGCGTACGTAGACCATGCTTTCTTTATTTCGGACAAAAACATCATGATGGACTCTTCTTACAACTTAAACAACACACATGCATACATATATACATACACACAAACATACATATACATACCGCCGAGAGGAAGCTGACAGAAGAATCGAGAGATTGGGCTTCATCGCTGAAAACAGAGCCCAAAGTGATGCTTTTTGTGTGTGTGTATACTGTTTGATCGTTGAATTTCGTTGATGGCATGGAGTAAGACTATGAGAGGAGTTTTCGTAGTGAGTGAATGTGAGTAGTCTCAGGTTTGATCATTGGATTCAGGTTTTATGAGTGATTGATTCTTTATACTACAAAGTTTGGGTTCAGTTTAGTGATTAGACCTACGAGAAAGAGAGAGATAGTGGTGAGATTGATTTAAAATTTCTGTGTGATAGGTATGAGGGTAGGATTAAAGGAATTTAGATATAATTAAATAATATTGTGGATTTTTTACATTACTAAATATGAGAGAAGGATTTTAAATTACTTTTTTTCAAAAATTCACTATTCAGAAGTTGAAAAAGAACTACTTTTAATTTTTATTTCCTAATAATCAACTTTTTAACTTATAATAAGTTACCCCAAACAACCATGAATACATTTATTTCTCCATTAATGCTGCTGTTCAAGTCATGTGCTTCATTGTAATTCTATCACTTTAAATTAAATAAATATATATGATTAAGATTGAGATATCTTTTAATTAAGGTCAAGTTTAACTATCTTAAATAAGTACACACTTTTTATTTTTTTATCTTTTTTTCATCACATCATCTCTCTATTTTTTTGTACATTTTTTCATAAAAAGACAAAAAATACACTTATTTGGGTCATCCCAAACAACCCCTAAAGACTGAAATTGCCTTCCTAATTTTCTCTTCGACAATGCTTTGCCTTCCTAATTTTCTCTTCGACAATGCTAGGTAGCTCAAATTTTTGTGGCTCAAATGGCTCAAATCTGTCAAAACGATATCGTTTTGACAGATTTTGAGGGTAAAACGACGTCGTTTTGACAAATTTGAGCCATTTGAACCACAAAAATTTGAGTTACCAAACATTTTCCTTTTCTCTTATTCCATCTTTTTTCTTCTTCTTTTTTTTCCCCAGCTTCTGCCAAATAATTTAAAGAAAAACTAATTAAATACGGTACGTCAAAGAAAGGAAAATATGGTATTAAAAAAAAAACTAATTAAATAGAAAACTTCAACAATTCTCGGTGGTTTTTGGGAAGTTTAGGACTTTGGTTTTTTTTATTTTTTTCACAAAAAGACAAATTTTTTACAAAATAAAAAAAAAAAACACATCTAAAAAAAATATCATATTCAATTTCATAATCATTTCACTTTTTCTCTCACAAACATAACATCTAATCATAAAAAAATTTAACTATCTTTTCAAATACAAAAAAAAAAATTTCTAATAATATCCTATAATTAAAAAAACCTACATAAAAACAAACTTTCCAAACGTCCAGCCAGTATCCCTCTGTACAAAACAATGTCGAATTGTCAACTAAAAAATTTAACAAAAAGCAACAAACAAAAAGAATCACAAACACACAATCAATCAATCAATTTCAATTTCCACATCTTGAGTTGATGATTCGTCAGTTGCAACACTATCATCATCAGAACCGCTTTCTGGACTCGAATTCGAATCGGTTCGATCACCACCGCCTCTAACGAAGAAGCTAATCTGAATCTCTCTCTCCGCTCTCCTCGCTCCGTTTTCTCCTTCATTACCATCACCTCCCTTCTTCTTCTCCTCACCTTCCTCCACAGGCATATTGTACCTGCAAACCGGGCACGATCCATGCATCCCCAACCACTTCTCGATACAATCCGAATGGTACCTGTGCTTACATGGCATCTCCTTGGCCTCTCCACCAACCTCATACTCCCCCAAACATATCGCACACTCCAACCCCTCTTCGACTACCTTCACCACCGGCATAGCTTCAATGGACGCCTTCGACGCCGGTAACGGCCCGTCTTTGCTCGACAGCTCCAAGCTTCCGAGACCGTCGATCATGATCAGCACTCCTGTGAGTGGATGGACTAGCACGAATCGTTCAGAGACGGTTCGATTCTCACCGTCTTGGGGAGGAGCGGCTGTGACGAGCCCTAAGATCCAGGGAAGGAGGAAAGGTAAGCTTTGGTTTCGAAATTGCGTTTGATCGTCGGGAGGTGATGAGTGCTCGAATGGCATGTCGGAATCGGACGACGCCATTGTTTTGCTGGTTGATTGATCGATCAAATTGAGAGAGAAGAGAAAAAAAGAGGATTTGAATTGAAGATTGAGAAAGTAATTGGAATTAGGGGATAGAGAAAGATTTTAAGAGAAAGGAGAGGGGGGCTAGAAGAGAAGAAGGTTGTGGAAGAGTCCAGAATGTTTCTGCGCACAGATGTGTCATGGACTGGAGTAAGGCTTAGATTACGTGGCGGTGGGGGTTAGATATGGTGGTGATTGAATGCGTATTCTATACGGATGAGGACTTGATTGGTAATAAAAGACTGAAAATAGGCAATTCTGGCATTGCTCACATGGCTTCCAAGTAGGGCCGGACATGGGGAGCTTCTATTTGAACACACCATTTATCTTCTTTACATACGGGTGGCTCTATTTACACACCACATTTTCTTTCAAGGCAAACTATTAATTAATTTATTTTTTATTACAATTTTAACCTTAAATGAAATGACTATTAAGGACAAATTATAATACACACCATTTATATATTTACCATAAAGGACAAGAATCAATATAATATAAATCATTAATTCAAACTTGTTCCTTACGTATCTTCTTTGTTAAGAATACAAAAACCCTAAAATCAAAACCAAAAATTCTTCAACAAATAATCAAAAATATAATATTATTGAAGATTTTGAATGGATTCAATGAAGAATGAATCTGACAACTTTGATTCACAACAATTCGATCAAATTGAGAGAGGAGAGAAAAAAAGAGGATTTGAATTGAAGATTGAGAAAGTAATTGGAATTACGGGATAGAGAAAGATTTTAAGAGAAAGGAGAGGGCGGCTAGAAGAGAAGAAGGTTGTGGAAGAGTCCAGAATGTTTCTGCCCACAGATGTATCATGGACTGGAGTAAGGCTTCGATTACGTGGCGGTGGGGGTTAGATATGGTGAATTGGGATCCTCTCCTTGAATCCTCTTCTTGACTCCCTCTTTGTAGGGTTTTTGAGCCTACTTTTAGATCCAATTTTAATAATCCGAATAATTCATATTTTAGATTTATTCAGTATATTATACTTGTAAAAAATCAAGTTGATCAGATATCAGAAAGTATGTGTCCGAAAAACTATTTATTAAAAAATAGTTTGTAGTTCGATTTTTCAGAACACATACTTTCTGATATCCGATTAATTTGATTTTTTACAGGTATGGTATACTAAATAAATCTTAAAATATGAACAGTTCGGATTATTAAAATTGGGCCTAAAAGTGAACCCGAAGGCCCTACAAGGAGGGAGTCAAGGAGAGGATCCTTGCTGGTGATTGAATGCGTATTCTATGCGGATGAGGACTATATTGGTAATAAAAGACTGAAAATAGGCAATTCTGGCATTGCTCACATGGCTTCGAAGTAAGGCCGGACATGGAGGAGCTTCTATTTGCACACACCATTTATCCTCTTCACATACACTTAATGAATTTTTTTTATTACATTTTAGTCCTAAAATGAAACTACCAAAATACCCATTTCTTCTTTAAACTACCAAAAACCTAACCCTAACCCTAACCATCAGTCACCACCATCCTCCATAACCGCCGCCTCTCTTTTCCTCCATCATCGCCGTTACCTCTTCTTCCACCACTGCAACTCCCTTTCATCTGCGAACCCATGGCCTTCCCGCTTCTCTTCCCCACCGCGTCGGGTATCGTGGAATCGCCTCATTTTCTTACCATTCAGACTACTAGTGTCGAAAGAATCGCCTCCGTTCGGAAATCAACCATCGAACCAATGAATTTGGTTCGATTATCACCATCCGAACAGAACACATTGGTTTGACCATCAACATCCGAACCCCCTTTCGTCTGCGAGTAGTCGTCGCCTTCCTTTTCGCGACTGAGAGGAGAGAGAGAGAGAGGGGTCGCGGTACGTCGCCGGTGCTGCGTCATCGTATGCAAGATGGTTGCTACCTAGGGTTAGGGTTAGGGTTTGATCGTTGCTTGCTGGTGTGGAAGAAGGTGTATGGATTGGGAGTGTGTGTATGGAGATATAACTTGAAAAAAATTGTGTGTGATGAGTAAATTTTTTTTGTTCTTTTTTTTTTTGGTGTGTGAATTAAGAAGGATGTGTAAAAAGAGGAATGCGTGTGTATAAATAGAACCTCCCGGACATGGGCTATATTGGGTTGGGTCAAACTTATATCATATATATTGTTTGGGATACAAAATTTTTTAGGACAAATTATATTAAACCCTTTTGACTTATTGACCATTCATATTTTACCCTTCTAATGTTTTAAATTTAACAATTATTTCCTTAAAATTATTTGAATTTAAACATTAAGTCTTTCTGTTAATCATCTATTAGATATTTAGATAAAAAATTATCAAGTATTATATACATGATGATTATATTAAATTTTATAACCAAAATTATCCTATTTTATCTTTTGTAAAAATTTAATATAATTATCATGTGCACAATACTTGACAATTTTTTATTTAAATATCTAATAAATGACTAATAGAAGGATTTAATATTCAAATTCAAATAGTTTGAGGGGGTGTTGGGTTTAAAACATTAGGGATTAAAGTGTAAATGGTAGGGGTTTAATATAATTTACCCAATTTTTTATTAAATTGTTTACTCCAAATCTATGTGAATATTTGATAAAAAAAAATTTAATAGAGATTTTAGAGTCTCTTACATAATAACATTTCAAATAATTTTTTAATTCTAGTTTTCTCTCAATATCGGGTCTATAATTTATTCCCAAATTTATTTAAATATAAATAAATAATTTATATAGTCTAAATATTATTTAATATAATTTTATTTTTCTTATTTTAACATTATGATTGGTAATTTAGATTTTTTTAACCAATTTTTTTACATGTGTATATGTAATTTATGTTTATAAAAAATAAAATTAAATAACATAAAATAGACATATAATAAGTTACATAATACAATTTGTGGATTGGTCGGATTTGAAGCATTCTCTCAAGTCTCTTCCTCTCCCATTAACGTAGTTTATGGGCTTAAACCATAATTTCAAACTTTATAAATTATGGATAGGCTTAATATGCCATTAGACCCATATCTGCATCTATTTTAAAGGGACTGATTTGTAATTTTCAGATTCACGTGACTTATTGAAGGAAATTTTAAACACATCATTGAGACCGTGTTTGATTTTTTTTTAAAAGTCAAAAAAATCTCATCATTTTCATAGTAGAGCCACTTGGCTATTTTTTTATTTATTAATTATTACAAAAATAAAATAAGTTGATGGTAACAATTGAAAATAGAAAAACAAAATGGAATTCCAAGTAAAATATAACAGTGTTAAGTGTAATTTGCTAAATTTAATTTTGCAAATTACAATTAAATTAGAAAAATAAAATTCAAACTATGGGTGCTGATTTCCGACCACACTGCTAAACATGAACTTAGCAGGAAAGCACAGGCAAAATATATCATACCCGAACAACCTACCACAAAAAAATAAGACTCCGGCGGTGGTTCGTCTACCTGGGGGCACTCCGACGATCAAGTCAGTACTTAGTTATCTCTCAAAAATAACAAATAGTACTTAATTCACTAGCCAGAATACAAAAAGTGTACCTTAGACCCACGAGAGTGCCTTACTTTTATAACTAGCATTAACATGATCCCTGTAGAAGCCTAGCTTCAATGGACTTTGGCTCAATGCTCATCTTGAAGTCCCAGCTAGATAGAGATAAACTCTCTAAGAGCTCTATCTTTATCCAGACTGAGGTTCTCCTCCATTCAAGGACTCTTGTCCCTTATCCGTTCATCTCGGATTTCGATATCTTCGCAGTTAACCCCAGCCTAACCAAGATCACCTTGGCATCATGACCAAGACACATGGCACCTCGGCTGACACTTCAGCGTCACCTTGGCCACGTGTTGTCATTCACAAAATATGTCTCCTTAACTGCCCCCTAAGTTTTATTACCTCTGCATCCTGAGGTGATGAAACCTACATCATTTGTCTACATAGCACGTCGGCTAAGACTTGCTCCATCCTCCATGGTCGATATTATCACACGTCGGCTTCTCATGACCAAGACTTTGCAGTCTACTTTATCAATTGCCAAGAACCAAGAATCAAGTTCTTCAAGTTCCTTAACCGAGATCGCTCCTATAGCCGAGGTTTTGTTTCATTAAATCAAAAACTCCAAGAGTTTTATCTGCACATGAGCTGTCACGCATGGTTTACTTAACCGTTTTCTCCACGCGTCGTTCTCTCATTGGTTCACACCTAACACGCGCTATCAAGTCGCATCGCGTCTCGTCTGGGCACGCCGCCTGACAAACACATCGTCCAAGGCATTCCATTATGGTTTACCGCCCTTTCGAATTTTTAACAAAAATAACTTCTCTCTATCTGTCGTTTCACTTTGCATTCCTTCGTTTTTGCTCAAGTTTTCTCTTTCTAAAGCTTCTCTCCCAAATCCTCTATTGTCGTTCCTTTCAAGCTCTGCCATTGTCGTATTTTACCACCTCCGACGCACTTTTCATCATCTGCTTTCGATCACTCTCGTCATCTGACTCTGGCGACCTTCACATCGGCATTCATTTCACTCGGTAAGTTCACAATTCCTTCCCCCTTAAGTTCGATCTCTGGTTTATTTTGAACTCTATTACATGTTTATACGTCGTTTGCTGCTATTGTGAATCGGTTTTGTGTTTTCAAATCTTTACTTGTACTTTGAATTACATCATTTTGGGTGTTAAACGTGCTTGTTTGCGACTTAGTTGTTCAATCTGTCTTTGGGTATACATACATGGTTCATGGCCCTTGTGCACACATACGCACTGTTCATGTGTTTGATGCTTTAATAGTTTGTCACTGTTCTTGACTTTTGCACAGTTGCACACACTTATACAGTGTTCTTGAATTTCTGTTTGTTTTCTTGAGTTTGAATTATTGCTCTTTTCTGTTTTTCTTGTTTATTTCCAGATCTTTCCATTGATTTCTTGTTTCCGTATAAATCTAGGTCTCGGGTTTTGATAGAAATCACTATCTCTAGGAAAATTGAAACAAATTCCCTTAGATCTTGAAAAACCCTTGACCCAATTCCTGTTTAGGGTTTAGCCGAGGCCTTTTAAACCCACACCAACCACTCTCTTCTGAAATCTTGCACTTTCTTCCTTTAGCCGACATCATGGGTATGTTTAGGTGGATGACAAATACCCCAGAAA